CCCCCGCGGGCTGCGGCCTGCCCCCTCCTCTGCCAGCCCCAGCCCCCAGGCGCGGTACCTTGGAGCCGGGCTCTGCGCTGTGCTGGAAGTCCTCTCCGTGCCAGGGCAGCGAGGTCCTGCAGAGGGACGGGGCAGTGAGGGGACGGCTCCCACTAGGCAGCACGGACCTGGGGCACCCAGGGAAGCACCAGGATGCCCTGGCACCAGCAGGCCCCCTTGGGGGAAGCATCCTATGGAGGTGACCAGCATGGTCCTGCTGGCTCCACCGTGTGATGGCACTGCTCAGGGGCGGCACTGGGGCCCAGCACCCAGTGGTGGCCAAGGGTCAACGGTGCCCCACAAGCCCGCAGAGCGTGTGGGCAGCCCTACCTCCGGGACAGCGAAGCCATTGGGCTGGGGATGGGCCTGTCCTTTGCCGAGTGCTTCGCCGCAGGGGCCTGGCAGTCCTGGGACAGAAGAGGAAAGGGGTGAGGGCAGCAAGAGAGGCTGTCAGGAGGTAGCAGGTAGGCCCTTCCAGGACAGCAGCACCTCAGCTTGTGGGCATCCCATGTAGCCAGGATAATGCCAACATGGGCCCTACTGGAGCCTTTCAAGGGGCTTAACCCTGGCCAGGAATGGGGTGAGCAGGACTTTGGGATGCCAGAGACAGGCCTGCTCCGAGGTGGGGCTGCAGCAGCAATGCCCAAGCTCCTGCCAGGGGCTGGGATCCAACACCAGCCCTCACCCTCCTGCCCACATCCCCTACCATTCCCTGGAATGTCTCCTCTCCATCAGCCTCCGGGCGCCCTCCTGGGCCGGTGGTGTGTGCGGGGTGCTGCCACTGCGTCGTGCCAGTTGGCACATGCCAGTAGTAGGTTCCCAGAGAGTCATGGATTTTCCTCCAGCCTGGGGGGAGGTCGGGGTCTGTCTCCAGGCTCTGGTCACTCCAGAGGTTGTCTGCAGAGGGAGAGCGTGAGGCAAGGGAGGGGAAGGTCCCCCCCAGCTGCAGGGCGCCCTGAGAAGTGAGCAGCTTGACCCAGTGGCGAAAGGCTCCTGCGGTGGCCTCCTGGTGTGTGGCTGGGCATGTGGCCCAGGAGAGAAGCATGGTGAGGGCAGGCTTGGCGCGACGCCAGAGAGGCTGCGGTAGCGGCAGACCCCAGGCAA